TAATAAGTGAAACCAGTAGTAAATTTTAGTGCTTAAACTGGTAGTAGTAGTAGTAAAACAGGTCTTATCTTTGATCATAAAATATTCAAACTTCCCCAAAACTTCAGCTCTGGCTCATATCATATATAAAACTACTTTATTACTAACCCACTGCACCGTGGACAGAGACAATGTTATCCTGTCTTCCTCCCCTCACCCCAACCGGTTGTGAGAGATGGCCGCCCCTCCCTGAGCCTGGTTCTGCTGCAGGTATCTTCCTGTTAAAAGGGAGTTTTTCCTTCCTACTTTCACCAAAGTCCTTGCTCATAGGAGGTCACTCTGCTTCCTGACATTGGACCCACATTAAACTCATGGACTGAACATACACACACCAACAACCACCAATAACTGAACACACACACACTTGAGCAAAAACAAACAAATGGCCAACTGTACCCTCATACACACAATAATAACATGGCCTGAACCACCACTCACAACCACTAGCACTTTATATAACCACTGTAGAAATTATCCACATATCTCACTGATCTAAACTGCACTACTGTCAATGCTGTATAGACAATCATTCTATACAATACAATAATTATAGTCCTACAACTGTTTATAACTTGTATAGTTCATATTTCATATTTCTCTATAGTTTCACATTTATATCTTGTACATAGCTTGAACACTCACTACAGCCTGTACATACTTATAGTTATAGCATATTCATAATATACCTTCATACCATGTACATTGTAACAATAATAGACCCATTTTTGTAATATATCTATATATCTAAATTATTGTTAATATATATTTTGTAATATATCTATATTGTTGCTAAAGCACTTTCTGGATGGATGCAAACTGCATTTCATTGCCTTGTACTTGTGACATGTGCAATGACAATAAAGTTGAATTATATTCTATTCTATATGATTGTTGGGTTTTTCTCTGTATGTATTATTGTAGGGTCTACCTTACAATATAAAGCATCTTGAGGCGACTGCTGTTGTGATTTGGCGAGGTATAAATAACACTGAATAGGCCATAACTTGAGTTAAGTTCAAGGTAAAGTTACTTTAACTTAACTCTGTCTTTATGTCAAATGATTTATGAACTTGTTTTTTGTCAGTGATGTGACATGCAAATACAGACAAAAACATGTAATAAATCCTCAGAGTGATGGTGTACTTTTGATTGTATAACATAAAAATGCATCAGTTTTGTCAAAAAAATTATAATTTAACTAAACTATCTTTATCTTTTTAATCACTGATCACTTTCAAACCATGACCCTGCAGTAGAAAAGTTGTTAATAAATTGGATGAGTGGATGAACCCATCTCTGCATAGATATGTTGAAGTATTTTATTAAAAGAAAAGGCCTTTATGAATGACTGATATCTGATGGCCTTAAAAAAAGTGTGCATGGTTATTAGAATAATATTGAAATCCCACTAGGGGAAGCTGTTACTCCACAAACACCCTGAGCCATTAAGCACTGTCTTATAAAAGAAAATAATTGAATCAAATTGTTCCTCTGTTGTGTAATACTTCTCCTTTCAGATATTTTTTGAATATATATATATATATTTCAATAACAAACAGCTTCGGCATTTCATTGAATTACACTAAATCTGTTTAAATCAGGAACTGCCTCATTGAAGTGTAAAGTCCAGGAAGTGCCGTAATAACTGCAAATACTGCAGCTTTTCACATTAGCGAGATACTTTAGCCTTGCGGGTGGTTTTAAACTAGCAGGGAACGTGCCAAATTATAAAATGTTTGTTAAAACTCTCATCTTGGCACACATTTGACAAAGGGGTTGCTTGAATCCAGGTAAACCTTGTTAGCTTTTAGCACGATGCTTGTCCCCACATGCTAACACCGTGCACGTTAAGGTCACCACAGCCATCGGCTCCATTTGAAGTCTGTGTAGAAGCAAACAGCCTCATTATTTGCCTTCGTTGTAACAAAAGTAAATGCGCACAGGTGGCCTGGTGATCACTCTTAAATCACTTTTAAGTTGAAGCAGAAAGTAAATAAATGCAGGCTTTTTTTGTTGGATCAAGATTGTCGTGTCTCCTACCACTAGGCACAGGCCAGTTTCTATAATACAATTTAATTAAACTTGCATAAAAGCTTATGACATGACTGCACTGTGATGTAATCAGATCACAAGATAATAAACAAAACTCTTACCCCTGGGTGCTGTATGTCAAGAAGGTCACTCTAAATAGCTAGCTCACTTCAGATTCTGTGAATTTTAGCTGTTTTTAGCTCTGCCAAGGTGATTTTAGAGGGAGTTAAACACATAGATCTGTCAACACATAGACACACAATCCCCACTTTGGACATCATCTGATTAATCTCTCTCTTCTGTCTTCCTCTTTCTTTCACTCATCCCCTCTGTCTCCTCTTTATAACCAGAGGTTCAGTATTGATTTAGCTGGGTCAAGAGCTCCTCCAGTTCCAAGCACATAAGTATCGCTCCATTTACCTAGAAGTAGTTCTCTCATCGATCTCTGCCAGCTTTTTGCCGTCGGCCAGACAAAGTCAGTGACAGACACCGCTCTGATATCATCTCAGTGCCCACAGAGAGAAGGCTTGATATAGAAAGGCAGGGGGCATGACAACCGCTGTAAGCCACAGTGACTCGTATGAGAAAAGAAAGGCAGAGATCAAGAAGAAAGGAAACCGTTATGCTTCACTTCCAACTGCATTTCAACATTTTTATATTTTCTACATGAAGCCGTTATTGGACCGTGAATTTACTCATGAAAGAAAATGCTTTCTCATGTTTCTAATGCAGGCTTATTCATGGATGATCTGATATCCTCGTGTTGGTGTTGTTCCCAGACCATCATGAAAATGTTGTTCCAGGTTCAACATTGCAAGTGACCAATCACATTGTTGTGACGTTATTCTTTTGCGCGCCAAGCCATTCGTGCATTTATGAAATTCCAATGTTGCAAGGACAATATCAATTCTGCTTACTGTTTATTAAAGGGTTACGGTTAGGGTCAGGGTCCGTTGATCAGCGGACAGAGGCGGTTTCACGCAGCTTTAGTACAGTTTTTTGTTTTACGCCGGTTTTTCCCGAAGTCGCAAAAGTATGACGTCACAACATTCTGATTGGTCACTTGCAATGTTGATCCTGGAACAACATTTAGTATGATGATCTGGGAACAACACCAACACGAGGATATCAGATCAACCCTAATTCATAGATCATTCATCGTTTAATGAAGGGAAAAAAGATGCTTTCATGAGTAAATGACATGTATAATACAGAAAAACTAAATTAAATTAAATTAAATGAAAAAGGAAGCACTACGAGAGTGCAAACCACTGCCAAGGCAGCTCACTCTTTGAGCAGTAGTACTGTATTGTGTGTATGTGTGCTCTTTAAACATACACTAAGAAGTTTGTAGTGTAGTGACATATAAGAATAGCATGACAGATGTTGGAAGGTCAGAGGTCAAACGTGACATCATGTCTCCTATAATGTGATATTTAGAATCTCTAGATATCATTCTCTACATGCTTACATGTTGTCAATACAAAATATGGCAGTAAGAAACACAGTTTATAACAGCTCTGTATGACATCATAATAATTTTGACCTTCAAATCTATTGACCTTGAAGGAGAGAGTCAAAGTTTAACATATAGTAAACTGGGTTAATTTGGTTTGTTTCAATACATGACAACAGTTTGCCATAGTTCAAATGATAGTGTGATTATTTGGTTAGCATTAAATTTGGTCTGCATATGATGCGGAAATACGTGTGTGTAATCTTACGTGTTCACCTGTAACAGAAAGAAGAGTTATTACACAGTTTTATAAAGAACAGAAGGAATGCAAAGAGCGTTCCTTCGACAAAAAGACAGAATAAATCTGCATCCCTCAGTAAGAACAATGCAGCTGGATGAAAGATCCAGGTGTTTTCTTCTAGCAGCTAATGCAGTCTCTGAGGAGAAGTTTAGAAATGTCTGGTATGCTGACTTTATTCTAACCTTCACTGCACCAGATTTTGGCTGGAGCCACAGTTTAGACATCTAAACTGTATTTGAGCTCCTGCTGTTAATAGTTACAGACCAGTTTAGCAACTTTTCATTTGTTTAGTTTTCTATAAAGTAAAAAGCATTTGTGAAGCTCTTTAGTTCTGGAAAAACTAAACAAAAACAAAAACGTTGGCTGTATAAAATTTGAACCCATGAGCCTGCATTGGTGAGAGCTTAGTATAAATGAGCCTTATCATTATCCTGGTATCCTAAATGCCCCTACACACCACCTGTCCCTTCAGGGCAAGCCTCTGTGCACACCTGTCCGGCAGTGTTTACTTATAAACAGTTGATCTGGTTTGAACCAGTGAACTGGACCTTTCAAACTGTGAGAAGTCACTGATGTCCCTGTGTGGTGTTTTAGCCTGATACAGACATGACACTAATGACATGAGCGGGGCATTGTGTGAGTGTGCCTCTGCAAGCGCACTCTGCCTGCATATGTGGTGTGTGTGTGTGTGTGTGTGTGTGTGTGTGTGTGTGTGTGTGTGTGTGTGTGTGTGTGTGTGTTAACGCTGCACTGACCTGGATGACAACAACATGAAACTAATTGCTTGAAATTAGGCAGCTTTCCCACACAATTATCATCAAATGTCTTCCTCAAAAGTGCACCCTCACCCTCCCTTCCACTTTCCTTCCCTTTTCCTTTTGCTCTAATATCTCAGGTGCCCAAGGCCACCATCAAGGTAATTTATTCCTCTGGCTGGAGCTTGGCACTGCTCCATCTCCCTCCACTATTTTCATAATAATGGTAAAAGTGTCATGTTATCATTAACCTAAAGGGCGGCAATAAAAGTCGCAGTAAAAAATTAAAGGAAAGGAGGGCTGTAATGCATGCTTTTATACCAACAACTGACCTCGTGGGTGGGGCTTCCTCATCCGAAGGCGGGACGAAGTTTCCCCACACATTAACACTCACAGTGAGTCGTGGATACTACAAGACCTTCTCATCATTGCAGGAGAGCATCTCTCCGCACACTGGGTTTTCTTCTCTAGAAGAAGCTTGAGGAAAATCGTGGGGAGGCGAAGATAACAGCAGTCTTGGCGTGGCTGGTTATGGAGACTGGACCACGGAGACTTCGGGAAGATGGCACAAAATGAGAAGTCAAGTGAGATGCTTCCTGTTTAAAAGAAATTGTGAAAGGAGCGTTGGCGTTTCCAAAAGCGCATGAGTGCCTAAGACGCGCTGGGTCGTGGAGAGGCGCACGGGAGCGCACAGGTTGGTGGAAGCAAATGCTTGGACATGAATTACATGTTAACTTAGACTGAGTATAAAGAATATTCGAAGAGGTATTTTAATAGTTTAACTAATATTTACCAAAAGTGGGCAAAAATACGTTGTCATGCTTAGAAAAATGTTCAAGAAGCCTTAAAGTTTTATTTATGAAAGTAGTAGTTTAGTTGATTTCGTTTATTGAATATGAATATGAACGGTTAAACTGTCTCCCTTAACTGGGGGCTATGGTGGAAAACAAAAATGGCAAGCTTAAAGCAGCCTGAAGGCTCAGGGGCTGGACATATTTTGTTTTCTCAACATTATACTGCGGGCTGCGCGTCACTCCTTTGTTTTTCAGCGTGTTTCGGTTAATATTTACGTCACACTATTTATTTGTGCAACAAATTTTCACAGCTTCAGCTGGGAACGCCCGACAACAGGCAGTTATAAGATTATTTAAGTGAGCTACCGAAGGAGCAGTTACTACAAGTGCGCGGATTATTAACTATTAGAATGCTGGCTGCTTTGGTCGTTGCCATCATTACTCTTTGTTGTTTTACATCGTGTGACACGTTTATGGCGCCTGGGGGCAACTTTGAGATGCCAACATGAAACAGAATACCAGTTTGAAGGTTTTGGGGTGTTTTTAACAGCAACAACAACATAAAAAAAAGGTAGAAGCTGTAAATAGGAGAAGAAAGTTGATTGTTTTTGCCACTTTTTACTCTCTTTATGTCTGATGAATTGGTTCAGCTGAAGTTAGTCTGCAGTTTTGCTTTGAGCTTTGCATCTGTACCAGCTTTTGAAAATATCTCTCATTTGAATTACATCGTTTTGGTTTAGTTTAGCGCCTCAAACAAATATACATTAAAAAATCTCACTTAAAGGTTGGGGGGGGGGGGGGGTTAAACCAAAGGGAAGAATCCTCCTAGATCTGTGAAAATGCAATATAGATTATCATGTCCTTTTTCTTTAATATAAAAAGCGAATGTAATCAAATACGTAATGCTTGTGCTGGCCACAAACACATAAAATGATGATCACGGCTGCCTGTTCTGGTGAAGTGGCAACTGTTTTGATTGCAGCAGTGAGCATATGTGAGAAGAAGTGAACTCAAGAGCCTTGGGAGGCATTTTCTTTACTCTCTCTTTCACTCAGAGTATTCACTGGAGAGTTTCTCCTGGTAAATATGAAGAAATCGGTGCTCTCCCCATATGTTGCTGATTCTCTGTGATCCAAAGGGCAGCAAAAATAGAGTTCCTAAAGCAGAAACCTACAGAATAGTAAATCCTCCACAATATAATAAACTATAGCTCTTTTCATATGCACTGCAGCAGCAGAGGTGCACAAACAGAACTTTACTCACTACCGTGTCAGTGTGCACCAGTGTGCAAGTAGCATTAATAATATTCTGGTACATTTATGGCTAGAGAGTGACTGTCATGTATGCAGACTTCTGAACTCTCTATCCAGATAACAACCTCATAGAAAGCACACAGATTGTTAACAGCACTGCAAATGCATTTGCAGCAGTGAAAACATTTACGGGGTGATTTAGGTTTGTGGTATAATAATTGTACAACTCTGTCTTTTTCTCTTTTGTGACTTTTTCTAGCATAACTCCAGTGGACATCAGCTCTACCTCCTTGAAGATGGAGGACTACAGTGGGATATTTGAGAATGTCAGCATCTCTTCCACTTACAACTTTACTGCGGACAGTTTCTCAAACACCACCATGCTGCTACCGTTTAACAAGGTCATTGTCATCATCCACACCATCGTCTTCATCGTGGGTTTTCTGGGTAACACACTGGCCATCTACGTGATGGCCCGCTATGCAAAAATGAACACAGCAACTAACATTTACATCCTGAACTTAGCTGTGGCGGATGAACTCTACATTCTGGGGATTCCCTTCATAGGGACCAACAGCGTGCTTTCCTATTGGCCATTTGGAGAAGCTGTCTGCAAGATCAGCATGACTGCTGATGCTATGAGCCAGTTTGCATCCACCTTTTCCCTGACACTGATGAGCATCGATCGCTTCCTTTTCGTGGTTTATCCTGTTCGCAGTGTTAAATGGCGGAAACCAAGGTTGGCGAAGATAACTAGTTGCATAGTCTGGGTTGTGTCATTCCTGATTGTTCTGCCAGTCATCATCTTCTCAAGTGTACAGGAGGACTTTAAGACCTGCAACATGAGCTGGCCTGAACCACATGATGTGTGGTCTGCTGTCTTCATCCTCTACACCTCTATCCTGAGCTTCTTTGGTCCTCTGATTGTTGTCTGCCTCTGCTACCTCTTCATTGTCATTAAGGTAAAGTGACAAATAAAAGCACCCTGTGACTTAGCTAATATATTTTTTTGTTATTCTGCTGAGATTCTGCTCTCACGCTCTCATTAAAACTTTCTTTTAATTTTCCTTTTCAGGTGAGGTCAGCACGTGAACGTGCAGGCCTGACTAAGCGGCGCAAATCCGAGCGCAAGGTGACACGCATGGTGGTCATCATCGTGCTGGTCTTTGTATTTTGTTGGCTTCCCTTTTACACCACCAACATTGTCAACCTGATTCATATCATCCCTGAGCACAGTATGGACATCTACTTTTCCGTGGTCATCCTCACCTACGTCAACTCCTGTGCCAACCCGTTTCTTTATGCTTTCCTCTCCAAAAACTTCAAAGAGAGCTTCCAGAAAGTGCTCTGCTTTCAGAAAGCAAATGTTGCCAGAGCTGCACAGGTGCTGCAGGGTAGACAGAATGATACCAAGGTAAACCAATATCCTGTTTTCTCATACAGCATTTGTGCAAAGTTTTAATAGGAACAGTAAGACACTAACACTTGAAGGGGTGGTGGCGGTGGCGGGGGGTCACCTAACCCTTTTTATTGATCCAATTAGGTGCAAAGTTTTTGCATAGATTACAGCTGTATTTTAGGTTATTGTCCGCAGCTTACAGGTTGCATTGGCTGGTTAGCACTAGACAGTCCTGGGTGTTAAATCCGTGCATGTTCTCACGGTGCCTACGTGGTTGCTCTCCACATACTCCAGCTTCCTCCCACAGTGCAAAAACATGCATGCAAGGACAATTGGCTTTTATAAATTGGCTGCACGTGTAAATGTGAACATGAATGGTTATCTGTCTTTCTGTATTGGTCCTGCAACCTATCCAGGGTCTACCTCCCATGGCACTTGCAGCCATGAATTGGATTAGCAAAGAAAAATGGGTAGATTTTCTTTTCCTTTTTTTTTTTCTTTTCTCAACATATATAAAACACTCACAACAGCCCTGAAACAAGCTATTTTTACAGTCTTCATCTGCACATTGTGTACATTTGTGCGTCTCAAGCGGTTCCTTTTAATTGATGTGGCTTTTCTGCCAACTCTGCTTCGAAGGCCAGAATCCAAGAAAGGCCAAGAAACACATGTTTACCATTGACACTCGGGCATTTTTCATGCAGGTACCATTTCATCTGAACTTGTGAGGCATGTTTCTTCAAAGTGGAGATATTGATGTTGTTCTCTTGGTTACCCGTGAACCCTTACCCTCCACTTGTATTTCTAGTCTGGTTAGAGCTAGCTCATAACAAGCGTTATATCTCTATTTCATTGAGTAAGAAGAAGTTGAAGAGGCTTATTTGAGGGTTAGTCTAATGATCAGTTACACTTTAAACAAGCTAAAATTAAGTAGAAATATTATTGAGTAACGCAATCCTTCACTGGAATACAGATTAGTTCTGAAAATATGCCTCTGCATTCCTGCCCAGATATGTGTTGAGATCTTTCAAAATAATGGCATTTCCTAGAAACACTAAACTTCTGAGCACTTTTTTTAGCGCATGTGAATGTGTCAACACAACTAAATGCCTTCCTGTCTCTGAATTGCAAATATCAGCTTGTACTTTTGAATAAGTCTGAAAATTGTAATAATACTTACCCAGATCCAGATCTATATGTATATGTTTTCCATTGCTGCATTTACTGCATCTCTAATCCAGTATTGTGCCTGCTTTTGTCTCCATAGTCCGTCCAGCTGAAGGATCTCAGGACCGCTCACAGTGAGCCTCTCAGTACAAAAAATGTGGTGAATGGCCAATGACTGCTGATCCACTATGTACTGTTTTGATACCACATGGAACCTGGATGCTTTCTCCCTTGTCATTTAATAACCTGCCTTTATTAATGATCATTTCTTCCTGAGTGGAACATTCAAAGGAGTAAAAAGAAGTCATTGCAGCATATTTTTTATAGCTTTGTACTAGACTGACTGTGTTATACAAGGCATAAGTTTATGTCATGATGACGTAGAAAACGTCATCGGATTACAAAATGCTGAAAATTTTCAATTTGCATTATTAGACCCCATGCTTTCTCACCTCTATTAGCTTGTCATGGTGCTGTTACCTGTTAATTCAGTCAAATGTGCATTTCAGTGAAAGTACTGACTTTACCTTACTGAGCGCATTTGGGACTAAACAACTATCATACTCTTTTCTGTGTTGAAGTAACTGTGATAAAAACAAGAGGGGTCTTTTAGTGCTCAGCTTAAAAGAAAATTAGGTTAATTTTTTTGAAAAGTGAAAGCATTCCTTTAGAAATAAACTGTGTATAACAAAGTAGTTAATCAGTTCTGTGGAAATACCGGTATACATTTTAATGACGTTAGATTGAACGTATATTCATGTATCGGGTATTAGCCTTACATTCACGCCATCTTTGACCCGGGCTCCTATTGTACCGCTTTATCTCAGACACTGTTCGTTCTTTAATTTGTGAATTTACAGTATTCGGTTTGTACTGCTGTTACTAGACTTGTGACTGTCTTGTTGATTGATGTAAAGCTGGCTGAATGGTCATGACTGTTACGGTGGATTTTCATGTGACAGGTTTTTTGGGACATATTAAAGTCAGTCTGACAGACTGGAGTGGACAACACGGGGAAGTAAAGCAGCATTCTCAACCTGGTGGACAAACCTGCTGAGCAGCACTTACCCGTCTTATATTTGTAACATGAGTCAAGCAAAAAGCATGTGACCAGTCGTGACTTTGAGCTTGGTTAAAAATCCAGATGGACTTGTGAAAGCCTTACAGGTGAGAATGGAACAAGGGAATTTTTTTGTGTTCAAAGCACTGTGAATTATGAAAAGACGAGTGAATTTGAGTTTGTTATGCATATGAAAGTTAAATGTGTTGTATATGGGTCACCTATACGAAGGAAAAAAATAGTGAAGCTACTTTGACCATTAATAAACGGTGACGTCTGTTACTCTGCATCTCCATGGTCACAGTTGCTCCAAGACAGTAAGAACAGTAACTAACTAAACAAAATTAATTGTATATATATATATATATTACAAAGTTGCATTATATGTACATTTATTCCACTAACTGTGATTGTATGTTTTTTTAAATAAAAGCAGATGTATGTTTCAGCACGTTCCCATTGAATCTGATAGTAAATGTTAATATTTTTATGCATTATTCCTTCCATTCATAGGAGTAGTAAAAGGGGAGTAGCTGTCTCATTTTTCTTATGAAGGAAAATGGTCAAATAGTAAGTAAACACTGGTATGAGAGCTGTTAGACATATAAAATGCATACATCAAAACAAAGTATCTAATATTTCTAAAGTAGCAACATGTTTGTATATTCTCTAATTTGTAGATATGGAATGGGGCTGACACACAGCAGGATGTATTATAAGTGCACAGTTGTGATATGTGCATTCACTGGGCCTCTTGGCAGCCACACCTGTTCACCTGCTAAATTCCTTAACACAATTATCTAATTAGGCAATCACACTGCAGCAGTTCAGTGGATTTAGACACATAAACATGCAAGATAACCTGCTGAAGTTCAAACAGAGCATCAGAATGAGGAAGAAAGGTGACTTTGAATGTACCGCAGTTGTTGGTACCAGACAGCCACCAACTGAGTATTCCAGAAACTGCTGGGACTTTCCCACATAACCATCTCCAAGCTTAACGGAGAATGGTCAGAGAAAGAGAAAGCGGGCTTGTTGTTGTGAGAGGTAATGGTAACTCAAATAACTCATTGCACCAAAGGTATGCAAAACAGCATCAACAGATGGTCCACAGCAGCAGAAGACCATGCTAGGTGCCAGGTCTTTTCAGCTAAGAACAGCAAACTGAGTCTACAGGTTGAAACAGGCTCATCAAAACTGGATAACAGAAGATTTTAAGAACGTTGTCTGGTCTGATGAGTTTCTACTGCGACTTTTGGCATAAACAGTAAACATGGTTCCATCCTACCTTGTTTTTACAGTTCAGGCTGGTGGTGGTCGTGGTGTAATAGTAGAGGGGATATTAGCTCACTGAGAAATTTTAAACACCGAAGCCTACATGAGTATTAATGCTGACCACTTCATGACTGCAATGTACCAGTCTTTTGATGGCTGCTTCCAGCAGGATGACACACCGTGTCATAAAGATCAAACCACCTCAAACCAGTGTCTTGAAGTTGACAATAAGCACCTTTGGATGTCATGTCAATATGGACCAAAATCTCCTAAGAATGTTTTCAGCACCTTAAACCTGTTGAAAGTGTATTTTATGTTTAACAGGAAGGAGGATTATACAAATGTTGGGCAGGGTTTTCACATACAAAGACGCAATGACATTAACAACCACATAATATCCCCACATTAACACTGACAGGGTGTCAAAGGTGCTAAAAAACCGTCTCATCATTTCAGGAAAGGATTTTATTCTCTGTCAATCTAAGAAGTGTAAGAAAATCATGCAAAAGCAAAAATAATGTCAGAAAGGTTGATATTCTAAATTCTAATTATTCAGCCATTAATATGAACATTTAAAGTGGTTTTTAAGACTTGGAAAAATGTCAGTCCCAGTGCAAGGGAATGGGTGATGGAAGTGTTTGTTTTCTCAACAGCATACTGCGGGCTGCATGTCACTTCTGTGTTTTGGACCATGTTTCAGTGAAGCTTTGCATCAAACCCCAGTTCCAAAAAAAATTAAGACTCTGACTAAAGTGTAAATACAAACAGAGAGGATTGATTTGCATAGAAAATGTATCAGATGTTTAGTTTGAGACATTATCATATTTTGTGGAAATATTAGCTCATTTTGAAAAACACTGGACCTCTAAGAGGTACTAAAAAGAAACAGCTGGAGGTTGTTGGGTTAATTGATAACATGTCAACTTAGGAATATGATGGGGTATAAAAAGCGCTTCTTTGAGAGGCAGAGAAAATGTAAAAATGAACAGTCACCAATCTGAAAAAATGAATTATTATTATTATTATTATTATTATTATTATTATTATTATTATTAATAATAATAATAATAATAATAATAATAATAATAATAATAATTCATTTCTAAATTGCGTAATAAATTTCAGAATAATGTCCCTGAACATAAAATTGACAACACTGTCTTCCTCTCCTCACCCCAACCCAACCGGTTGTGGCAGATGGCCCCGCCCCTCCCTGAGCTTGCTCATAGAGGGTCATATGATTGTTATGTTTTTCTCTGTATGTATTATCAGTGTTAGGGAGTAACGGAATACATGTACCGGCATTATGTATTCAAAATACAAAATATGGGTAACTGTATTCTGTTACAGTTACTGTTTAAATAGGTGATAATTAGAATCCAGTTACTTTGTTGAAATAAATGGATTACACAGCGGTCTTTTCCTGCTTCATGTGTTGGGCTATCCCCGCTCTAATTTTGGTAATTCCACGCATTGCTGGAAACCCAAACAAAACAAGCAATAAGAGGCGCTGTCAAGAAATCTGACTGTGCAATGCAAACTCTGTTTGCCAGCAATCAAGCTGCTCTCGGTGTCAAAAGACTGGATGCCAGTTCTTTAAAAAAAAAAATAAAAAAAAAGAAACTAGCATTGACCTACTGCAACTACCTTGTTTCTTCAATGTACTATTGCTGTGCAATTTATTACTATTACTGAAGACTGCATTACAACCTCCTAGCTGCAAATAATCATTTGCAGTTCTGAAAGCAATACCTTTCAGAATGACACATACAGTGGGGCAAAAAAGTATTTAGTCAGCCACCGATTGTGCAAGTTCCCCCACCTAAAATGATGACAGAGGTCAGTAATTTGCACCAGAGGTACACTTCAACTGTGAGAGACAGAATGTGAAAAAAAAATCCATGAATCCACATGGTAGGATTTGTAAAGAATTTATTCGTAAATCAGGGTGAAAAATAAGTATTTGGTCAATAACAACAAAAATACAACTCAATACTTTGTAACATAACCTTTGTTGGCAATAACAGAGGTCAAACGTTTACTATAGGTCTTTACCAGGTTTGCACACACAGTAGCTGGTATTTTGGCCCATTCCTCCATGCAGATCTTCTCGAGAGCAGTGATGTTTTGGGGCTGTCGCCGAGCAACACGGACTTTCAACTCCCGCCACAGATTTTCTATGGGGTTGAGGTCTGGAGACTGGCTAGGCCACTCCAGGACTTTCAAATGCTTCTTACGGAGCCACTCCTTTGTTGCCCGGGCGGTGTGTTTTGGATCATCGTCATGTTGGAAGACCCAGCCTCGTTTCATCTTCAAAGTTCTCACTGATGGAAGGAGGTTTTGGCTCAAAATCTCACGATACATGGCCCCATTCATTCTGTCCTTAACACGGATCAGTCGTCCTGTCCCCTTGGCAGAAAAACAGCCCCATAGCATGATGTTTCCACCCCCATGCCTCACAGTAGGTATGGTGTTCTTGGGATGCAACTCAGTATTCTTCTTCCTCCAAACACGACGAGTTGAGTTTATACCAAAAAGTTCTACTTTGGTTTCATCTGACCACATGACATTCTCCCAATCCTCTGCTGTATCATCCATGTGCTCTCTGGCAAACTTCAGACGGGCCTGGACATGCACTGGCTTCAGCAGTGGAACACGTCTGGCACTGCGGGATTTGATTCCCTGCCGTTGTAGTGTGTTACTGATGGTGACCTTTGTTACTTTGGTCCCAGCTCTCTGCAGGTCATTCACCAGGTCCCCCCGTGTGGTTCTGGGATCTTTGCTCACCGTTCTCATGATCATTTTGACCCCACGGGATGAGATCTTGCGTGGAGCTGTCATGATACGTTGTGTGGCAGGCAGGGGAAGGACCCAAGATGCAGGTTCACAGACACGGGGATAAACTCAAAAACACAGCTTTATTGCTGGCCACGGGAAGCAATACAGAATAAACTAAAACTGGGAAAACTAACGCATGAACTGTACAAGGAACCGAACCACGGGGAGAATTACACACAACATGAGGGAGAACACGACGCCGAACAGAGGGAGACTCAGACAGAAATACACAGAGGGTAAACGAGGAAAGTGGGCACACACGGGGAACACAGGTGACACTGATAATCATAACTAGACAGGGCGGGGTGAACTGAACATGACATGTAGAGGCACAGAGGTTCCGACAGGAGGAGAGAGAGCACGGGGAAAACACAGACATAACGGGCTGGGGAAACATGAAACAACCACAAAGGGAGACGAGGGCTCATCAATACATAGAGGGCACACAGGGGGGAGAGAGCCATGAAGGGAAAAACACTTAGGGAACAACACAACAGGGCAACTCAGAAGACATGGCCTAAATAAGGAACGAAATACGAGAATACAAAGAACTAAGAATACTGGGCCCACATGGCCCAGGACCATGACACCACCCCCCCCTAAAGGGCTGGCTCCCGACAGCCCAAACCCGAAAACAAAAACAAAAACAGAAAACAACCCACCCAGGGCGGGAGGCGGGGGACCAGGACGGAGGGACCAGAACGGGAAACAAAATAAACAACAGAAAACACGGGAGCACACGACCATAGTCAAAATAAAGTTCAGGGGGCCGACCCAGAGCCCACAGGAACAAGAGTTCACGGGTCACCCGGTCGGGGGGCCGACCAGGCGGGTGGCACAGGTGGCAGAGCTGGTCCGGAGGCCGGCCGTGCGGAAGGCAGCGGCGGCGGCGAAGGAGACGACGGAGCAGTTCAGGAGGCCGGCCGCGCGGAAGGCAGCGGCGGCGGCGAAGGAGACGACGGAGCAGTTCCGGGGGCCGGCCGCGCGGAAGGCAGCGGCGGCGGCGAAGGAGACGACGGAGCAGTTCCGGGGGCCGGCCGCGCGGAAGGCAGCGGCGGCGGCGAAGGAGACGACGGAGCAGTTCAGGGGGCCGGCCGCGCGGAAGGCAGCGGCGGCTCTCCAGTGTCAGGCGTGCTGGCCATGGCCCGGTGGGCACAGGACCAGACGAAGCACAGGCCGAAGCCGCGACAGACGAGGCTGAAGACTCGGAGGCTGGACCAGGCGAAGGCTCTGAGGCTGGACCAGGCGAAGGCTCTGAGGCTGCAGCTGGCGAAGGCTCTGAGGCTGCAGCTGGCGAAGGCTCTGAGGCTGCAGCTGACGAAGGCTCTGAGGCTG